ACTGTAGATGTAAACTAGTGGGCACGTGTCTTGAAGTTTTAATTTTATAAATGGTTTATATTGAAAAAAAATGTTAAGTTAAATAATTAAATATTATAATGAGTCTTATTAAACGAATCATTATCTCATAAGGTGCAATCGATTGTAACAAAAATAATGTCTAAACGGTATATCATTCACTGTGTTTAAAATATGTATGTGTAGTAGTGCACCGTAAGATAATTTTACTACAAAATCGAGAAAAATGCCATAAGAAAAAATATATATATATATTCCTGATTGGCCTTTATAACCTTGATATTTTGACTTGTTAGGGGTGGAGGTCACGCCAAACAGCCCAATATCTTTGTAGGCCACCTTTTTATCTCAATTTTGTGATAAAATTATGTTACGATTCAGGTGGAAATCAAATACAAGTTTATGAGTTTTTATTATTTCATTAAATAGACCAAGTTTTCCGATCTACAGATTGAAAATTCACTACTTATAAGATTTTCGGTAAATAGGTTATGACACGATTAACAAATTAGAAAACCTCAAATTAGAAAAAAATTGATTTGTTTACGAAAAAAATTACACCATATTAGGACAATGAGGGTAATTGTGCCAATAAGGTGTTTTTGCATAAACGGTATGCATGTCATAAATCATTAAAAATTCACCAGTGACTATTTGAAATGTTTTGGTTTTTCTGATAACGTTTGATTTAAATTTCGTATCTATTGAATAAAGAAAATCAAATTACTTTACTAAATGAGAAACCCAAAATCCCCCATAATTTATATTCATGAACTTAGTAGTAATAAAAATTAGGCAAATTTTACACTTTTTAAAAATTAATTCAGGAAATTATTCATGGATGTGGAATGTCTTTTATTTAATAAAACGGCATCTATTAAATATGATAGATTTTTAAAGTATTATCAATTTGTACTCGTTTATTATTTTACTGATATGGAGTGTGGATACACTCAGAAAATAATTATTTTAGTTGTTGGTGACCTTGTCATCTAAAAATATATATTTTAATTTAGAAGGTTAAACTTATATATATATATATATATATATATATATATATATATATATATATATATATATATATATATATATATATATAATGTATATTCAAATATTAACTATTTAAAATTATATATCAAGTAAAATGTTATTAAATATTAATTCTAGTTAACAATGTTTATCCACAAACTATTACAAATGTGGGTTATTGTATAGTACTGTTACACATTTGCCTGAAACTATTTACTTTTTTTCTTAAATTATTCTAATAACTTTATTAAAATATATTAGTTTTTATTATATTTAAGTATTGTTTTAAATTAAAAAAGAAAGCATCAAAGTATGAGCTTTTCCAATGGCATTTTCAAAAAGGCTGGCTTAAACCATAAATACAACCTAGAAGGACTAAGCTAAAGAACTAAATCAAGACAACAAAAGCACCGATTTTTTTTTCTGTTTTCAGTTTTTAATCAACTTTGTAAACTTTAATTTTAGACTTTCACAATGGAGTTAAAGGTCTTTACTATAGATCTATGATAAAACATAGGCGGTTTTACTTCACAATAACCTCTAATGAAATTTCATATTAATTAAGAATTTATCATAACAAATCTAGTAGAGCTTTATTTTACTATTTAAAAAAAATTAATAAGAATTAATTAAAATTTAATAAATATATTTATTCTTATCAAAATACTTGAGTTAACCTCTGTGCTTCAATTAGAAAAAAAAAAAGGAAAAGCAATAATGCACTATGTGGAAAATCACAGGAATAAAGTTTTGGTCTAGAACTGAACTTTTTCAAAAACTTATTTTGTAACATTTTCAACGAAAATATATTTCATAAGAATGTTATACAATAAATACTTATAGGACCATTTTTTAAAAATTTAGATTTGTACAATAGTGGTTAGTTTAAAATAAAAAAGAAAATGTGTGTATTTAAAGATAATTGTTAAGTGCTAAAACAACTAAAGAAAATTGGTTAATATGATAGTATAATTTTTTAACACTATTTTATTGTATTTTTAATTTCCCTTATTGTTTGGAATATTTTTATTTGGACATTGTTAATTTTATAGAATGAATATAATATAGATTATTAATGTATATTATGAAAAATATATGAAATGTAAATTAAATTATGTTTTTAGGGTCAACCCAAAATCGTTCTCAAACGCATCCTACCCATACTCGAGACCCACAATATCCCATCCCATCAGTTTGGATTCCGCTCAAGACATTCCACTGTTCAACAAGGCCTTCGCGTTGTTGACCATATATCCTCTGCGCTTGAAAACAAGCAATATTGCACCGGTGCCTTTCTGGACGTAGCGCAAGCTTTCGACCAGGTGTGGCATGATGGCTTGCTTTTCAAGCTCAAAACTCACCTACCCCAATCCTTGTACCTAGTCCTCAAATCCTACCTCTCAAATCGTTCCTTTCAAGTCCGCTCCGGCACTGAATTCCCCAACTATTATCCAATTGAAGCTGGTGTTCCACAAGGCAGTGTCTTGGGCCCAGTCCTCTTCATCCTCTTCACCGCTGACATTCCAACCAATCCCGATACCCTTCTAGCAACTTTCGCAGACGATACCGCCATCCTGTCATCCCACCTAGATCCTGAAACAGCATCCTTAAATCTACAAAGACACATCTCCCTAATTGAGCAATGGTTGCAACAATTGGCGCATTAAGATCAATGAATCCAAATGCAAGCATGTCACCTTTACCCTCCGACGCAGATCCTGTCCACATATCCTTTTCAACTGTGTACCTCTCCCCGTCTCAGACACAGTTCGGTATCTTGGATTCCTTTTAGACAAAAGACTAGCTTGGAACCCACATACTAGACTTAAAAGACAAAAACTTAACCGACGATTTGGCCAGCTATATAGACTACTTCACAAAAAATCCAATCTATCAATAGAAAACAAACTATTAATATACAAGACCATACTCAAACCCATCTGGACCTACGGACTTGAACTGTGGGGGACAACTGAATTTTCGAACATCAAACGCATCCAATCCTGTCAGTCTAAAGTCCTCCGTATGATAGTCAATGCTCCTCATTACGTCACAAACAAAACCCTACATCATAACCTTTACATCCTTGACGTTATTCCATCCCGATTCTCAAATTTTCACATGAACCTAATCCACCATCCTAACCCTTTAGCACAATCCTTATCTAGCTCCAGTCATCCCTACAACCCTCCTCGAAGGTTGAAACGGCAGTGACCTCGAGATCTCTTGTAAAGACGTCACTGGAGTTTTGGCAATGGCCAGCTTCTCCACTCAAGTCATGAGTGTTTGTGGTTTTAGTGCCCTCGCTCAGTCTCCACCGGACTGGTAATGCCGGCGACGCGGTTGAGAGAGAAGAGTCTCGCTTTGTCCTTCACACGTGGGGGAAAGGGCTGGACTCGGAGATCTCTTGCCTAATTGTAAATATTGTATTTAAGTATGAATGTTTTTCTATTTATTTCTATTACTTATAATCTATTTAATTTTGCTACGAATTTCTGTATTTCATTTAATTTTAACTCTGTTACATTTCCTTGGTTTATTATAGTTTTTGCCTTTGTTATATAGATTTTTATATTTTTTTAATTTTTTTTATTTATTTATTTTTTTTATGGTATTGTATATATGGTATGAATGTGCCTCACTCAGCCTTAGTAGTCAGTGCCCTTAAGTGTGGCAAAATGTATTATTTCTCAATAAACAGATATAAAAAAAGGGTTAACCCAAGATTGCTCTTAAATAAAAAAATAATTTTTTTAAAAAAAATAATACTTCCTGAATTTTTTCAATTTATTTAGCTTCCTACTTCGATAATTAGTATAACTTAATATGTTCTATCATTTAAGAGCTAACCCCATCACCTTATTTTAGTGAACTTAAAACAATTATTGATTAACCACTATAAAATTATAATTAGACCTTAAAATGAAACAAAGTTAAAGAAAAAGGTGTTTAAAACATCAATTGTCATAAGGCATAATTCATACTATCATACTTATTGTAACATTAGCGAAAAAAACAGTGGGAGGTCTAAATATAATTATAATGGTAGATCTGGATTTTAGATATTAAATATTTAAGTAACTTTATTGATTCTTATATTTCCTTTGCAAACTTTATAACCATCCGAACACTCTTGTTTCTAACCTTTCTTTCTCTTCAGTTCCCCATAACCCTCCGAGGCTTCTGAAAAGAAGATGACCCCGTGATCTAATGTAGATATATTATAAGATTGCTACCACATTTGTTCACATATACTATATATATTTTCATTTTTTAATACCGTTGTAGGTACATGTAACGAATACAATTTTTTTTTTGTATGTAGCTCAGAATATCTTGCAAAAATGCCATATTTTAGATTTACTCTTTGGTGAAACGACTTAATTTTAATAGAACATTTAAAGAAAAGTTGTATAAAAACTTCAAAATAAATTTTTATTTAACGGATTGTTTTTTTTCATTAAAACTTTCAAACGTAAACAGTTGTATTTAAAAACAAAATGAAATACAATAGGAAAAAAATCCATTTGGTCCTACTTATATGGAAACTGATTAAGAATTAAAAATATCTTTTAATGCCATGCCCTGGTTTAGGCGGCGGCCACGAGGAAGAGAGGAGTACCTAGGATGGGGGGTGGGGAGGGGAAGACAGAGCACATGCCCTTCATGAATCTTAGAAGGGCCGTGCAATTATTGATGTGGTCCGGCCTGGCTGATTTTCTTATAACCCTCGATTAGCCCTGTTGTGAATTATTTATGAGCTCTCACCACTTATTAAAAATAAAAATCTCAATAATGGATTAGGGTTCATACTACCATGATTCGCCGTGGAATTGTAAGAAAAAAACTATATTCGACATCAAGATTTATTTCATCTTACTTTATTTATATATATATTTATATTTACTATATTTCTATACATAATATTATAATGCAAAATGATTTTTTGTGTACTTTAATACATTAATAAACTACTTGAGATCTTTGACAAGATTAGAAAATACATTTTTTTCGTATTGCATTGTCCTTAAAAAGAAAGAATAAATTGTGAAAATCGACAGAGATTCATTGTCATTATTCACAAAGCCAATTTTACAATTTGTTTAAAATATTTACATGAGCGCTATCCCTTATAAATGGCACATTCAATTTATGACTATAACCTTAAATTGTACTGGTTGATATGTATAGTTTGTCAGGGGAGCTAGAGCTACAGGGGGAGGGGCTTATTGCTTACAGTTACTATTTACACATATTGCACTTAGTCTCGATTGCACCTCGTCTTTTTTATATACACGGTTATTGCGGGAACACCGAGCAATCTATTTGTCAGTGTTGCGCAGCGAACTTCATCCGCTTCTGTTTCTGCCTCTGGTTGCAGAACCACACCCGGACGACGTTTTTCTTCAGGTCGAGTTTTTCGGCGATGGCGGCGATCTTCTCCCCCGAGGGCCTCGGCTGGACGGCGAAGTAGGCCTCCAGAGACCTCTTCTCGGGCGCTGCGATCGATGTCCGCTTTCTTTTCTTCTCACCTGCCGGGAGTACCGAGGGCGCGTCCGGGTCCCGCCTCTTGTTCTTGGCCTGTGCCTCGGCTTCCTCGAGCCAGGCCTGGAGAATGGGCTTGAGAGCGATCATGTTGTTGTGAGAGAGGGTGAGGGACTCGAACCTGCAGATGGTGCTCTGTGACAGCGCGCCGACTCCAGGCAGCTTCAGGTTCGCCAGCGCCTTCCCGACGTCCGCTTGGGTCACCCCTAGCTTTATCCTCCTCTGCTTGAACCGCTCGGCGAAGGCTTCTAGTTCTCGCGGGTCGGTGTCTGAGTCTGGGTGCTGGAGCCCTGGAGCCATCGGGTGGTGGTGCGGTGGCCCGTGCCCGCTGAGGGGTGAGCCGTGGTGGTGGTGATGGTGGTGGTGGTGGTTCATCATGGTGTTCATGGCGGGACCGTAAGGGCCGTGCAGCTGAGGGTGACCGCCTCCGCCGCCGTCTGTCATCGGGGTGAGGGTTGTCATTCCGCTGGAGGTGATGGGGTCCAGCATCTCGAGGCCGTCCATCCCGTGGTGGTGGCCCATCTGTCCAAGCACTGACATCTAGCAATAAAATAAAGATATTAAGATATTAGAATATTAAGAAATTTTATTTTCATGCATGATGAATAATATAATTTTAAAAGGCATTTAAGTTGAATATAAAGATCATTATGAATGCTCAAATCAAGATAGATACAGAGGAAAGAGGTGGTCCAGGGGAGGGAGCATAAAAAAAAAAAAAAAAAATAGTGAAAAAACTATTTTAATGTAAGCCAACGTTTCGAATCAACTACACAGGTGAAGAAAATGAAATGTACAGAATTTTTAAATTAATTTTGAATAATAAAAAAATATTTTAGTTGTTAGTTTGAATAGTTTTGTGAACCTTAACAAAGTGGTAATTATATTTTATACTATCCAAAAAAGAAGTAAAATAAAAAAAACATTATTCTTGTTGGAAAAAAAAAATTACTGTGTAAATATCCATACATATCCGTGCTTCGGAGGTACAAAACCTTATTTTACTTTTTATTAATCGAGTATTAACTGCTCTATAGATACAATTTGATTCGGAGGGAAACTTTTCTCCAGTTAGCTTAAGGAAATCTGACAAAGGGCAGCCTATAGATCTGAGGTACAGATAAATATAAATATATCTCTGATAACAAATAAGGTACGTCAAGAAAAGTGCAGAAACACATCAAAAATAATAAAAATCAATAATAATGTTTGAAAAAGATAAAGTGATATACCATCTCTCTCATTGGCTGTGCAACATTTACCAGCACACAATCAATGTCTGACATTATCACTGACTTTAAACATTTCACAATTTTTTTTTTTAATAAAAGAAAAATGATATTACCTCTTTCTTAATCAGGTTATCCGTTACCTCCATATTCCATGTCTATAGAAAAAAAAAGAAAGAGAAATTATTTTTAGTTTTTATTATTACTTTCAGAAAAATAAGTTATTAAACTAGTATATCATAACAACAGTCATTTAACACAATTTTCTCTCACACAAATTAATGTGAAAAAATAAGGACATAGACAATGTGAGACATTCATTGCAGAAACACGTTCAATATAAAACTATATAGCTATTTATACTAAGGTATTAATATTATTTAAAATAACAAAATGAAATAAAAAAAATAAGTAACTATTCTAAACTATTTATGTTATATTTCCATTTAAAAGGATCATAACGTATTTTCTTTTAATACACAGATATAATTAAATCATAGATTTATTTTTATTATAATAATATAAACAATTACTAACAATAAAGAAAAAAGTTCAGAACATGAAGATTATTATTTCATTCAAATTTTTTTTTTTTTTTGTCTAGAAAATATGTATTTGCGCCTGTCAACAATAAGTTGACAATCAGCAAATGTGATGGCGATAATGATAAAATGACATGACAGGCATGGGGAACGAAAGTACTCAGGAGTACCTCCATTTTAAATACATAAATCAGTATGTAAAGTTGGTTGTGCCTAAATATAATATTAGGCTGATAACTATATTTTTCCTACTCCTATATTACTACAATAACTAGGATCTCATCTACTTTTAGCATGCTTATCCCTAAAATTGTGAATTTATTGTTTTGTATTTGTGCTAGGTTTAAATACAGCTATAAAAACTGATATGATTTAAAATGTTTATTTAATCCATACATCCAATGTCAATTTTTTTTTTGCTTTTAACAACAATAGGTAGTTACGAAAAAAAAAATTATTGCACTAGATTGTATGTGGTTATGTGACAAATTACGAGTATATCTATGAGATACGTAGACAGGAGATCAAGTGTAATTCCCAGTAGTTTATTTCAAATCTATTTTTTTCTGTTCTTAGAGTTACAGATTCAGTGACAGATTATCAATTAGTTAAATAAAAAAATATATTTTAAATACATCTTTTGATAAGTTTGCTAAAATATAACTGTCGGAGTTTCAAATCTACCTCTTTTTTTTTTTAACTTACAAGGAGAGTCAGTCAGTAGATTACCAAATTGAATAATTTTTTTGGGGGTGATTCTTAATTGAATAATATTGAAAATTTGTTCCAACGTTCCAATGAGCCTTAAGAGTCCAGAAAAAAAGGTTTAACATAATATATGTTATTCGTTTTTGCCTTCGCTTTGCCCGGATTGTTAAATTATTCAATATCAGCTGATTTGTTTTTTAATGTAAATAAGAAAAAAACATTGACTATTTTATTAAATGAGTTATAATGTGTCCTAAATTACAAAGGCCCTTCCAATAAAATAGGCCAAGTAAATTATTGTTATGAAAAAGCATTTTAGATTCGTTTTTAGCGTTCTTTGAAATTATGAAATATTAATTTTTATATAAATCATGAATTACAAAATTGAATACATGATTTGCTTTGAAAAATATTTTCCGGCCGATAGCTCAACCATTCATAACGTTTCTATCGAATTATTAAGATCCGCCTGAAATTTCGTAAATACCTTTATTTCATTTTAGCCTACTAATATGTACGAAAATTCTCGGAATTCGGACTTTCCAATCTGGAGATCTCCAAAATTAGTCTATTTAATTAGGTACTAAAAACTCGTAAATACTCATTTGCTTTCCACTTGAATAGTAAGATACTTGGATCACTAGATCGAGAAAAAAGGCGGCCTACAAAAATATTGGGCTGTTTAGCGTGATTTTAACTCCCAACGAGCTTATGTAGGGCTAAACGGCCAAATATTTTTGTAGGTCATCTTTATTTTCGATTTCGTGATAATATTATAGAGAATGTTTGCTGATCTCCGAATTGAAAATGCCCCAATTCCAAGATTTTTTTAAATAAATAAAATATTAATAAAACCATCTCAATCTCAATCTAGTTTATATCTTTGATTCTAATTTGTTTACGGAGGTCGTTTTATAGCATTTTATGTAGCATATAGAGCCTAAAATACCTAATTTTTATGTGGGTCCGTGGAGCCGTTATAAATTTATTACAATTTTGTGGTTGTAGACCAAATTTAGAAGGGGCCAGCCTAGGTTTTTTGAGGTAAGAAAACCAAATATCAACTCTAAAAAAATATTTACTCTCAAATAGCTACGTCTGTTAGTCCTAATTGTTCTCATGTTGTAACTATCTGCCAAATGTATTATTTATTGAAAACCTGTCTAGTATCTAGTATAATATTTTTTAGGCTACAGACTGTAATTTGTTTTGTTTTTTACAATTTTTTTGTGTAAGAAATTAATATATTGTGATTTTCTCAGTTGAAAAAATGTTGTCATATTAACTTTATAAGAAATTAGATTACTGCAATATTGGAAAATTTAATAAAGTTTGTGTTCAGACATATAGAGGAAGGTCTGTAGCCTAGAGTTAGTGACTGGAAGGAACCCGTTGACGTGATCCTTCGGCAGAGCTGGAGTACACATCACACCACACTCATCGACAGCACGAAGCAGTTGGAGAGCAGAGACAAAGTGCGCTACAGAGAGAGAACTAGGGCGGTGTTATGGTTCCCAGGGGCTGCCTACAGGATCGCCTCCCATCCTTCAAATGACCACTTTGCAATAGATGTCAATGGGGAGCTGCAGAGGGCGTAATGATGAAAGATAGCCCCCCAGAGGGAGGGGGGAGGGTGAATCATTGGCAGCTCAGATGGGGAACACTGCCCCCCTCCCTCTACCCCCTCCTAATGTTATCATAGAATAAACATCTGATTCAGTTATTCATGTCCCCCCGATTTGCTAAACATGAGGGCGTGTTTAATGAGAAGGCAACAGGTCCTGGCTCCCCGCTGTTCTGTTTTCAATTGACCGCGGTTTCGGAGTCTCCTTCCTTCAAAATGTAAACAACAAAACAATTTGTAATATAACTAATGCAATTTTATTTGAATTATAACATCAAACATAGTTTTTCAGTCAAAAACTGAGGTATGGTACCATATGAGCCTGAGAGATATATGAGATGAGCTCTCTAAGAGAACAGTGCCAATGTTCAATTAGAAAGTTCTCAACATGCTTTATAAGTAACTAGAGGTCACACAAGGCCGAGGTACTGCCATCTTAACATTCGCTTTCCACTTGAACCGTAAAATAATTTTATCACAAAATAGAGAAATATGGATGAAATAAAAAAATAATGAACCGTTTGGCCTATATAATCTAGCTGTTTTGACATGTTGGGAGTGGAGTTCACACTCATAATTTTTGTAGGTCACCTATATTCTAGATTTACTAACTTACTTACTACCTGGCTGTAAAGGTCTTCGTGACTCTTGGTCTTCCGGACTATATTCTTACATCTGTTACGGACCTTGGAAGCGTTCCTCCAATTCATGGCACCAAGCTTTGCACCATCTCTTACTACCCCGGTCTGCCTCTTTATTTAACGGTTGTTATATTCAGCATCTTATTCTGCAATATCTCTTTGTTCATTCTAGCCATATGACCAGCTCATCACAGCTCATCACTTGCCTGATTTTATTTTATTAACTATGTCATGATTTTTTCAGCATGTATGCAGTTTCTCTTGATTTTCCACTTCCATCAATATTTACAGAACCGTATATCTTTCCTACAATTCTTCTTTTGTGAAATTGAATTTTCTAACAAAGCTGGGAGAGAAGTACTGGGATCTCCTGGAGTCCTGCTTTGGCTTCCACAATTGAGGGACAAAGCTTGATTCAGAGTCCCCTAGGCCAATATAAATATTGTACATAGGTATGTGTTTTATTTATTTTGTTATCATTCAGCATTAATCTGTTATTTTACTTATCTTGTATATTACTTTATCTTTTAATTTATATATATCCTTTCTTTTTTTTTTTTACTTGGTTATTTTTATTTGATTTCCTTTCTTATGTACATATTGTATGAATGAATACTATAGCCCTAGCACCAATGCCCTTCAGTGTGGTAGACTGTATTAATACTATATAAAACAATGAAATAATTCTTCTTTCAACTACCATTAGTATTTCTATATTATATTCTTGAAGGATACTTTACAGAGTATCTCTTTTCTCACTATCGAATGCTTGTTTATAGTCTATGAACAGACGGTGTAAGTCTATATTATATTCATAGAAAAGTTACATTGTTTGCCTTATTTTAAAAAATTAATCTGTTGTATCCCTTCCTCGGGAATCAGATACAACTCCATAAAGTTTACTGAATAATCCAAACTGATTTTGGCTTTCGAAAAACAATTTTTTTTCAAATAAAATTTATTAGTTTTCTAGGAATTATGAAATATGGGCATTGGGATTGTCCTTTGATATAATATGTTGGCCTTTGGCGACCCTGTAATTATAGGATGGGAAGGGAAGGAGAGGAGACTGGGGAGGTTATTTGTGGGTCCCGGGAGAGCGCGCCAACTGTCAGCCGCCACTGGTGATAAAAAAATACTTACCCCCCCCCCAACACTAATTTAATTACCTTGTCCTCTCTCTTGGTCAGGATTCACCGGCAGCCTCCGAGCTATATCATCCGCTCCGGGCCCATTGCTCTCAGGGGCTATCTGCGCTGCGCTCTGTATAGGTGTAAATCTTCCTTATATATATATGAGAGGGTATAAGTTTCTCACTATGTACAGGACATGTTAAACAAATATGGCAATATTAAAGGAGCCTCGTGCCATATTCTTATGCACAGATAAATTATAATAATAAAATGCCAAAATCTTATCTATTTTAGAGATTATTTTTTTGTTGGTTTTACAGAACTTGTAGATATTTTGCTATCTTAACTTGGGATATTTTTTTCAGTTTTTTTTAAACAGCTCTATTGTATCATTGTTGGTGCATTCAATCTATCCATCTGTTTTTTCGCCCTCCCATCTTAATCTCTTCGTCTTCATATCATCAGATATCGATTGACCTGTATCCTGATCCCAGATCGCTCCGGTTAACGCATGCAGGATTCTTCTTTCAAATCATTTAATACCTTGTTTCCAGGGTGTTGCGTATTTTAGAGTTATTGGACAAATAATTAACAATAACAAACAAACTCTAAACCTCAACTTAAGACTACGAATATTGTACTCACTCCTTGCAAGACATTCGAAACTAAAACTTAGACACAAATTGAATGCGTATACTTACCTACTTGGTAAGTAAGTACCTAAGTGGACCTACACTTCACAAATATACGGGACAGCCAAAAAGACTCAAATACGTAAACTACAGACTTTTCAATTTAAAACTTTCAGGACTATCACCAAGGCTTCGTGATACGTCAGTAACTTTACTTTACATAAAGACTTATACATGCCAACAGTTAACGATCACGTATGTACAAACTACAAGATATTTCATAATAACTTACACGGACATATTAACTCATTGTTTCGAGAAATGGCCACAACTAACATGCCCGACAGCACCCGAAGGAGCTTAAAAGAAGCTGGATAAGGGATCTCCTTCACTAACTATAAATAATACATTCAAGACAGGAAGGACTCCTCTCTCTCACGCCTATTCCAAGACATATTGACCTTCTACATCTTGACATCACACTCGCTGATTGTCGGAACTTCTGACAGGTGTGAGTTGAAAAATTAAGTTAAAAAAAAATGTTTTTGAAAATAAAAACAACGACAAATCATTTTATGAGTGTTTTTCTTTTCATGTTAAAATGAAAGATAATACTCTTAATTGACGACTCAAACTAATTTACTAACTCTCATCCAACTCTTATATACATATATTTAAACATTATATGGACAAACTCTGTACAGAAATACGGTATAGCTAAAAGGCGCTGGATAAGAGACCTATCTTAACAAACTACAATAATTGAATTAAGTCAGGAAAGAGGTGCTGCTGGATGCTATCCTTCCCCATGCCTGGTACGTCAGTTTAATTACTTTAATCAGAACATCTCTTGAATGTGGATAAGTGCGGATTAATATTTGAGAAAAAAATTAATGTTAATGAAAACAAAATTATAATCATGATTGTCAAATAGTTTATCAAAGGCATGTCTACTTCTAGAACAATTGCTGTTAAAAATTTAATAAGAACGTTTTATCTGGGCTTACGAAAAATATGTAATGACAATCAGCTAATTGAAGGAGTAGCTAACCGTTACCGCATGGCAGGGCAGTGTTGCGGGTCTAGCGTGTCGGTTTCGCCCTAGCGGCTCAACCAACTTTATTTTATCGTATCCATTCGTTCAGGTGGGCGAACCATTTTTAAATTTTATTCCACTTTACTCTAGGCTGCATTATTTTCTCTTTTGAATAAATAAATACTTAAATATCAATAATTTCGACTTCGGATAACTGGTTAATGCAGATAGAATTAAAATTGAGTTAAGTAAACATTTAATTCAAAATAAGTTAAATTCAAAGCACAAAAATATGTTAAAGAAAGATTGGAAACACTTATCTTATCATTTGTATGTTATTTTAGTGTAAAGTTGTTTTTACTTAGTTACTATTTAGTCTCAGTGTTTGTTGAACTGAACGAGAAAAAGGTACAATGAACAAAAAAAAAAAACAAAAGACATTAATTTACCACTTTTTTTTTTTGTTACCAAACACTAAAGAAATTTTCAGTTTTAACCATACACATATTTTGTTAACCACATCTTAGTTCAAAGAATGAAAACCTGGATCAACTTATACATTATGTTGTATTGATAATAAAATGAAACTAAGAGAAATTGAAATTCTATACATTAACCCTTCCAAAAATTGGACTAGTTTGTACCGTGCAATTTCACTAACTTAGGTTTGACCTATTAGGGGAGTACACTATAACCGAAGAAATGACTTCCGTAATAAAAGCTTCTTATTGGATAAAACATAATTCAAGAGCGTCTTGGAATTCATCGTCAAACCATCAAAATGTAGTTCTCCTAATAACGAATATACTAAACGTTTGAGAAAAAAAAAATAGAAAAATAAATTTAGTATTTGTCTTGGTTCTTTCGATAGTTCACCCGTCAAAGAAAAATTCGTATTTGATAGCTAGAAACAAATGTGGAAAAAATAATTCAAACTATGGAGATTAGATATAGATATAAAATTAGATAGAGAAAAAATTACGGTCAGCCGAATACGGATATTGTCATTTTACACATGTGCATCTTTTCAGAGATCAGGAATACACCTCGAACCGTTAGAAACTAAAAGAATAAGTGCTAGATGATAAAGAGAAAGAGTCAATATATATATATACGAACTGAAACAATAAGCAGATGAGATCTATCGCATATTATTTTGCTATATTTTCAGGCAAAAAGAAGACCAATTTCAACACGATGTATCTTAACCAGCTCCTTCTCCGATTTTTTTCGGGCATTTATGTATATGCACTGTAAAACTATCATACAACTAAATTACAAGAAAGTTGCTCACGTCATTTGCAAAGTTTGCCATGAACTTTGTATCTAGCCCTCCTATTGATCTCAGTTCTCAAAATATTTGCAGATTCTGTAAAGTAGATTGGTTTGACGTTAGCTGTTGCCACACATCAAAAAGAAAACAATGAAAGTTAACATCTTATAGTCATTACTTGTAGTTAAAATTACACATATAGATTCCAAATATCTGAGCTAGCTAATAATACGTCATAATTTCTTTAATGGGCGAGGAACAAACTGATAGTTGAGTTATTGATGTTAGCACAGTTAACGAAAACAACAAAAGACTACTCTACTAATCACAAGGATAAAAATACGTTGTTATAAAAGGCATGACTAAACCCCGTTTCATAATGCCCGAAAAAAATTTAGAAGGAGCTGATTGGTCTTTTTTGACTTACAAGATCAGTAATAATGGTCTTATTATTGTGTCAACATAATTTTATTGGTATTAATTTTGTCGCCTTTGATGATCTTCTTGGGTTCATATTTAAACACTATAAATGAACTTGTTTCTGGAAGATTCCAGTCAAAAACTGAATTAATGAAAAAGCAGTTTACCAAAAAAATAAATAAATTAAAATGAGGAGCGACTTTAAAATATTTTTTTTATTAAATTCACAAATAAAATTGCCAACGTTTCGTAGACTCCATCATATGGAATATTTTTTAAAGTAGCTATTGGTTCGTCTGTCTATGTGTTTTTATCATCATGCCTATTGTTTTTAGTTTTAAGTTGAATAATTAGCAAACTGCCCATAAACAGTAACAGTAAAGTTGATACTGCCCGTAGAAAAAAAAATGCTTAAATGGTTACAGTAAATAAATAATACTAGAAACTCTTCAATAGATTTGTTTATAGTCTAGTGATAATTTTAAAAAAATAATAATTTTATCTCATAGTCAAAATAATACACCTCACTTCTTATTAGCTTTTAAATCCTATTAATTTAATTCAATACTTTGTAGGCAACCCATCATTTTCTTCTAGTTATTTCAGTCTTTATGTAATTGAGTCAAATAATTTGTTGGTAAATTTCTGGCTTATCCTATTCCAATCATCGGTGAGATATTTTCTTAAGTCTTCTTTCCTAGAAATTCCGTTTTTTTATTTTTTTATTTTGTAACTCCAACTTGGCTCGCTATTATTCTATCACATAAAGAGCGGGTGACTTTCATGGAGCTTTTATAACTTTGGGGCTGTTATAACGTAGCCGTTCCTTAACTAACATGGCTGAGTGTTTGGGGTCATTATTCTGATAAAAACAACAGTTGTTTTTTTAGCCCCATCTTTTCTATTCTTTTTTTAAAAGTTTGTTATAAAAATGTATATTTAAACATGCTTATTCACTAAGCAGTCCATAAAGTGAAGATTTCCTACACCAGAAGTAGCCATACATTCCACATCATAAATCTGATGGGTTATTTGACCCCATGTTTCACGGTTGAGCTTAAATTATTTTTTGTAAGCTCTTCTCCTGGTTTCCTCTGTACATAGGAATGTCCATTGATCTCAAAAATATGAAATTTACTTTCATCAACAAGTTACACCATTGTTAAAATATTCTATCAATAATCTGGTGTATCATTTTCCACCACATGTGAACCACTGTATACACATACATATGAGGCATTCTCGAAAAAAAAACTTCAGTAAATCAAACATATATTAGTATTGTCCATGTTCTTTTCATAGACTCTTAAATTTTGCTTCCCTAGTTTCTTCTTAGTTTTTCTTTGATTGAGGTGATTTTGGTGTCACTAACCTTTATCTTTGTTAAAGATGTTAACAAAAATCACCTCCCTTCGATTTTTTTTGTTGTATTCTGTTCAGCGTTTCAGGAAATGTTTTCCCAATCATTTCATCAAATTTCTAATCTCTCTTGTTAGTATTATCCTGATGACTATTAAGAAAACAAATTTAGAAGCTATTCTCCCATTGACCAACAATTGGCTACTTCTGAGTTATTGTTTTAGTTTAAGTGTGTTAATACGATTAATTAAATAAATTCCACCTAGACAAGCAACTAACATAGAATCCTCATACTAGACTGAAAAGCCAAGAAACCGCTCGACGTTTCCGATTACTTCAGCACTTACTAGACAAACGCTCTAAACTTCCCATTAATTACAAAAGACTCATATACTTGACTATAATAAGACCTATTTGGACTTACGGAGTTGAGCTATGGGGCTCCACTAAACCATCGAATTCCTCTCGCATCCTATCCTTACAATCCAAAATCCTTCGTAAAATCCTCAATGCTCCCTACTTTGTCACTAATAAAATTATCCATAAAGATCTTAATGTTCCTTATGTTTCAGATCTGGCCCAATCCAGATAACTATCCTTCCATAATAAACTTGAGAATCATCCCAACCCTCTCGTTTCTAACCTTGCTTCCTCTTCAATTCGTGATAACCCTCCGAGGCGTCTGAAAAGAAGATGGCCCCGTGATCTCCTAATGTAGTCATATCATTAGAGTGCTACCATTGGGTAGTTACTCAGCAAGTGTATTCATGTCATTATATCTATTATGTCCAAATTTACTAGATGTATTTATGTAATACAGTTGTAAATGTCATTAAGAAATAAAATAAATAAATGAACTAAGAAAAAATCACTACAAAAAGTTAACATAGGTATCAATTACATAAAAAATATAAATGAATTAATTAATAATTTTTATTTTTTTAACAATGAAGTTATCATTCAATGGAAAACAGGGTGGACTGCCCCCTCCGACTCTGCTAGATACGTCCTATTGTGAAATAAATTCAGAAATCATTGGAATGTCCTAATCGCTCACCTTTTTAATTAATATAAAACTTTCTGCAAAATTTAAATATATTTATTAATATTTACTGTAATAAATGGCTGATGATATACCTGGTGCGGCCTGGAGTTCGGCGGTCCCCCGTGGGGTGCCCCCATCCCGTGGTGGTACATCATGTCGTGCTTGAGGTGCGGGAGGCCCTGGGGGTTGCCTTGGTGCTTCCCGATGTCTACCGCCGCCAGCGCTTCCGCTCTCGAGAGGAGGCCGTCATTGAGTCCGCCGAAGATGTCGCCCTGGAGGTGAGAATGGCAGTCGTTAGCAGAGGTATAGCAAAGGAAAGCAAGAAGAGGCATAATGAAATTCAAAATAACATGAAATTAAATACGCGTAAATCGACAAATAAGTTACTGGTACTGGTATTAGTAAGAAATAGGAACGAATCCGACAGACCCTTTGATTTTTTTCAGACCCAAAATTGAATATACCAATTGAGACTTCTATCCTTTTATCTCTAACCTATAGTTTTTCTAATGAAATTTATTAGGGACATAGAATAATTGGGAGAAGTCTACTGTTTTATGATTATATAACCGCTGGTATAGCTATGTGCTTATATAGGACATAGAACTCTTCTACATAATGTAAGACAGTTTTTGGCGCCTTACCACACTATTGATAGGTTTCCTCTATACAATCTTTTAGATCCTTAAATGTTTTTTTGGTCTACAGTGCTCTGATAATTATTCGATAATCATTTGTGTGAATGTCAAGCAACCAATAGATTCTAGAGGAGGGAGGTGTTATATAAACTGCTTGACTTGCCTTAGGCCTACACAATCCTTCCTTTTCTTACCTAGTTCCCTGAATCCTTACATGTCCTTTCAAGGACTTCTGTGCGCTGATATTTCTTTAAGATGCTTAATGAAGGTTATAATCCAATGAAAGGAACCTCTGCGCAGTTTCTTGCAAGTACGTTCTTACAGCTAGAAAAAGTCTCCTACACTTTTTCACAGGAGTGAAAGCTACCTTGGGGAATTTCAAGGCATGGAGAACCGACTGACTATAGATAACGATGCTGACTCTACCACATCCATGGTTTTCAAACATGTGGCTGTAGTTAATATGGCAAACACGTTCGCCTGAAATACAGTAAAGTGATACTCTAGTGGAATCATATGCGCTTACTTCGGAGGGAGGATGAAAGCGATCCTCCAATAAAAATATTGAAGGAGCGAGAATATCGTCTTTCCCTCCTCTCTACCTCCCAATAATTTTAGGTAAAAATAAATTAAATAAGCTATACGAATGAATAAAATGTGTACACTGAAATCAATTAAGAAAGGTCCACAACCTGGCTAGGCTAGGGTTTAGTAGTAGATGTGTGACTATTTTATTTATACCTCAATGTTTACTTTTGTTTAAATTGCTATCTGTATTCAAATATAATAATATACATATGCTAGGATTTTATGATTCAGTCACCTCTCAATTTTCATGTGATATTCTTATCACATTTTCCGCGACATAACAGATGGACTGTGAAAAACGTTGTATTTTTATTTAAGGTTGTACACACTAAGAAATCAAAGATATTTTTCACTTCTTTACATTATTCATTTTTAGCTGAAAAGTTCCAGAAATGTACCAATGTTATGAAGGCTACCTTCCCTCTTAATTGTGTTTAATATGAACAAATACGTTATATACATATTAAATTTTATTTTTTAAAGATATTTTCAAGTATATATAACTCGTAAAACAAAAATAAATAAATAGATAAAAATTCTTACAACTATACAAACATATAAATAAATAACTTTTAAATATTTAATATCATATTTGTTACTTCACTATAATTATGTAGAATTTTTACACATAACGAAAACAACCGCATTTTTTTTTTGTCAATCGTCTCCCATAAATAAAATAAAAAATCTGCATCTATGAGTGGAATACTTAATTCTCTCCTAAATCCTCTATGTATAACGAATAAGGTAGGAAGTCTTAGTTGTAGCGAATAAGTTACAAGAAGATATTGCATCTGTGTAGTTACATTAATATGTATCCACCATTTTGAATAGTCCAAAGATGAGGTTTGAGGGTGATCTTGTAAGTAGAGAAAAATGGAAAATATTCAGCTGAGTGAAAGCAGACCTTAAGAACTACAAAAAGGTTTGTATAAATAATGGTCCGATTTCCTGTGGAAAAATAGAAACTTTGATATTACTGTTGTATTTTTTTTTTCTTTCACTTAACTATAAATGAAATATATATGTGTGTGTGTTTATTGAATAAATCAACAGATGACAGGAATCATATGATTGTGGCTGAATGATGATAAAATTCAGACAATTGTCATGGGCCATTATTGTACTAAAATCTTTTTAATGTTCAGATAAAATTAAGACTTTACCTTTGATATATTAATGAAGATTTTGGACTTTATAATTATTATTTAGATCTTAGAGGCGTAAAACCCCGAGGTCATCAACACCTATCTAATCTTCCCTATAAAAACCTCAATTATTTCGAAAAACATTATTATGAATACAAATCTCACTGAAATTTTGTTTAGTGAATCATTAATTTTAAGAAAATGTTTCATCGAACTTACTTTAACTTTATCATTATTCAAAACAACTGATACTTTTGGTATGAATCCTAATTTGGTTAGAATCGATATGTAATAACCCCGATATGTAACCCCAGCAGAATGTTTGTTTCAGGCAAGCCCCCCCAAAATCTTAAAATATAACCATGTTTTATAGAAAAAAATTATCTTTAAATGCATTATTGTTCGTTTAATTAAAGTTAATAGGATTTCAACAATCGCTTAAAGATCATTTAATACAGGTAGTTAATTTCTTTCTTTCTTCCGAAGTCATTATCCTAATATATTTGTAAAAAAAAATATTTCGGGCTGAAGCCTCCTCCAAAATTAAATTCTGGATCCGTTAGTGGTAGTTTGTATGTCTTAAGGTAAGTTCATCTCTACGAATAGGATGGTTCGAGATGGACCATGGTTTTACGGATCGTTTGATTTCCGTCAGCTTGCTCGATGGATTCTCGATGATGCAGATTTTGGACTGTTTCATAACAGGTTCAGAATCCCAGATGTTTACATATTATTTGTTCAGTAGGATTCAATTTAATTCCTGCTCAGGTACAAATGGCATTGTTTCTGAGCTCTTTTGAGAAATTTCTGAGAGAAATTTTGTATCAAAGTCAGGTTTTTGTAATCAAGAGATATCGAGCTCGGAAATGCTCTGGTCGATTGTATCAGAATTTTATCATATCAAGTCTTTGAATACTTCAACAGCTTATGTATTTGATAAAAATAGTTAGCTACTTTTTCATGTCCTGTATATTCTGAATTCAGAATAATTATATTGAAAAAAATCTCGCACACAATAATGAATATCACAGGGAGGGTAATCAAGGTGATGAGGTGGTACTCTTGAGTACTATCCTTCCACATGTACGAGGAAGCTGCTGTTATTAGTTGTAAAATTTTGGACCGAAAGGACTGTAGTTTTTGTAAGTGAATCATTTTTCCTGAACCGTATATCTGCGAGGGGTATGTCCAAATGGGTTTGAGTAGATATGTATTTAATTTTTGTCTGATTTGAAATTTTTATTTGGAAAAAAAGAGATAATATTATTTTTGATCACATATTTAAAGTCTTTCGTTTCATTTTGACGTGTGGGCCCACTTCTTGTATTTTTATTCATGATTAAAGTTTCTAATAGATCCTTTAAAAAAAATAATTAAACTCTATATCATGACTATAACTAAAATTTGGTAGAGTAAACTAAACTAAAAGCAATAATGCTGATTTAATAATAATAATATTTAAGCTACTGTGCTTATACTAATATACCAGTAGCTTAATATCTGTACTAGTGGACGGTGTTGAGGCTTTCGGTGTGTCCCCGGTCTGAGTTATCGAGCCTCTATTTTAAAACAATGAAGAGGATCCCATTGTTAACTTGAAAAAAAAAACCGGGATCGAAACGTCGAATAAACAGCAGGATAATTGAACATTTTGTAGTTTATTTAATAATTATTAAGTGATCTAATTCCTAATTTAAATAATTATGTTTATATATATATATATATATATATATATATATATAATCTAAAATATGAATATTATTATAATAGTTCTTGAAGTGTTTACAGGTGGTCACAGACAATGAATGAAATATTGATGTTTCAGATAAAGGGAGCATTAACAAAACAAAAACAGAAGCAGATAATAGTAAAATATGTCAAAAAATTAAGCTGTAATCGGTGTAAATAAAATAGAAATACATGCCTGAAGATAAATATGTACAGGTTAAAAAAAAAAGCTCGCTACTAAATATAAAGTGACAGGAGTAAACAATGGATAAAAATTAGACTCGTGTTGACTCATTATTTATTTAAGATGCTCCTTGTCGTTGAATGAATGCCGCTCAATGGCTAACTCTAGCTAATTTATTGCACTCACGGGCAACGTTTCCGATACTAATTTTACTGGTTTTACGTTTATATATTATTTGCTTTTATTAAATACAGTTCCAGTTTTTCCGTTGGTATTAATTAAACATACGTTGGTGAAATAATTAGAAAGAGAGGAGACTACACATTTGGGAAAGTTTAAAAAAGTCAGGAATTAACTTTCTGAAATACTTATCTTAGAACACATATCCATTATACCGTCGCGTCGGTTTGTTGCAAAAATCCGTATTGTGTATTTTTGATAATGCAAAATTTAAAAAAAAATTTGCGCATTCTGGCCTTTTATTGATGCGAAAACAACTTAAGTGTATCAACATGACAGAAATACCTTTTATATATATATATATATATATATATATATATATATATATAATAGTTACACTAATGAAAGAGGAAATTATTCTGATTTCACAGAGAGAAAATTCATTAAAGTACTTAGTGAATTAATTTTATAAAATGCCACTCAATGACTGTTTTCAATACACCCACGTTATCCGCTAATTACTAAACTCAATAGAAAATAAAATAAAAATGCATATACCTTGTTCAGAAAAAAATGTTAGAATATTATGTCCGACATACGAACGCATTAGAAATGTTTCGATGGCAACTTACAGGGACGTCCTAAAATACTCATAAATGACATGCCCACAACACATATGCTAGGTAGCATCAGTGAAAAATTGAAGAGAAGGGACCTAATGTAGATATCACGCCAGGAGGTGTCGCTGGGTACTGCCCCCTCTCTCCCTTATACCATCCATGTCATTACATTTTGCAAAAATTATAGAATTCACTGATTGCCACTACTATATTTGCAGATGTGAAAAAAAATTTAAATGTTTTAAA